CCCCCCAAGAACATCCCGAATGTATGTAGCTCACATATATCATAGCTAAAATGAAAGGTTGTGTGCGCTTCCTTCTTATCGTCGTTCTTCTCTTGTCGTTGTCCATGCATTGCGCTTCTGCTTTGCATGCGTTTTTCTCAGGTTTTGCACCTGCACTCACGTATCTATCGTTTTTGCAGACTCAGACTGCTTGGAAATCCCCATGCCACACATGTCCTCATTACTCTCCTGCATCATGTCATGCTATGTACGTTTGCTGCTTCGCACGGTCTACTTCGCTCATTGTGTCACATGTCATATAATTTGTCTTCTTGCTTGGCAGGCTATACTTTGCATCCCCCAATTTCATCTCCCTGTTCTCTTATTGTATCATAATGCACGGCATTTCATGTAGGCTCCTCTGTTGCTCCAGCTGTGTTCTGGATGATGCTGTTACTTTTTCTGCTCTGTTGCAGTCTTTCCTCTTGACGCAACAGGTAATCCGCATCTTGGGACCATTTGGCTGAAAAGGCCGGCGGAACAACCCGCAGGGTGTAAATATCAAAAAGATAAGCATTGCAAAATGCCACGTATAACATCAGCTACTTTGCCCTGAAAATGTACCAAAGTCCTCCAGGCTGCTATAGCCTTCCCATGCACTCAGCAAGGTCCTAGAGTGTTCTCTTCGGAACAAGCAGCGACTGATTGATAGAATCCAGAACAGTTAAGCCGCCCATTCATGGAAAGCAAAGGCCCTTATTTGACATAACTATGTGTTGAACCTTGGTATATAACCTACGACATAACATATGCCATAAAGACAGAGGCGACCCAAAAACCAGCACACCATGTGCTCCAATGAATCCTGTTGATGTTCAGCGTGACGTGCCGCACCAAGGATTCGCGAGCCCAGTTTCTCCAGCGCTCCACCTGGGGAAACGTTCCATCGACGTCGGGAGAGTTTCTCGTCGAATGTCGAACTCGAAGCATCTGGAACAGCCGAAATGTCGAACCGATCACTTCGCACGTGGAGTCTTCTCTACGCTTTGCAGCGATAAAGTGATGGAACACCTATGAAAACCTCCTCCATCCAGACCTATGACCTAGTAGGGCATCAGATGGTGTATGAGGTATGTACCGAGCGAGCTTCAGGTCTGTGTACTTCAGGATCGGCTTGCGCCCGCTCCCACCGAGACGCGCCGAGACGTAAGCGGCTTGGCCTGGGGGTCTCGGAGCTGCTTCTCGATGCCTAAGAGTGGTGCCAAGCTGTTCACCTCGGTCACTGAGCTGCGCAGCGTGAACACGCGCCGCGCCAGCGACGCCTACGCAAACGCACGGCGCCTGGGGCGTGTTGCGTTAGACCCGGCGCGAGAAGGACATGTTGGACAGAAAGGGTGTGGAGCTTTTGGTTTTCGACCCTGACACTGTGGCACGTGCAGTTTGATCCTCAAAGCACTGGTGACTCAAGTTTCTGGAGCTTTGCTGAAGACTGCAAGCCTGAAGCTTGGAGGCTCATTGTACCGAGTAGCAATCTGATCGCTGTCCACTAGCCACACGCCGCCCTCTCCGCCAAAGCGCAGCCTCACCAGGATGTCTGGAGTGTAGACTATGGCTAGGCTTTAGTGTGCATGGCAATAATAGAAAAACTGCTAATGCTATTTTCCAATACTCGGTTTTCCAAAAATCAGTTCAACAACCAGTGGTTCGCGCTTCTAACATGAAGCAAAGAGTTGACTGTGAATTGGCCCCAAGAGCTTGCTGAGCAAAGTCGCTGAGGGAGCTTCTTGTAGTCGCTTGGCGCCAGCTGGGATTTGAACATTGGTTCCACTTCGACAGCTTCCTCGCAGAAGCGGAACTGAGAAACTACGTATCCGCTGATCCTTGGATATAGATTATGCTACTGTAAAGGATTGATCATCACGCAGTTGCTGGTGCTTCTAGTGGCAAGTGCTAGCGGTTCCTCCCAAGTCGATACTCAAATCAAATGGTGTCCTTGAAAAGTCAAGGTGAATCCAAACCAGCAAACCATGATAATTTAATGTGTTCATTTGGAACAACATGACATATAGCCCTTTTCAATGTTCACTATGTGTTCAAGTTGGTTCTAGTGCTCCATCTCTTGTGTCTTTATACCAAGCAATGAAGAAACAAGCGCGTAACGTGCAACGAGCCCAAACATGACCAAACATACCCAAACATGCCCAGACACTTGATCACACAAAGTCACAGGCAACATGCCAAGTTGCATATGGAACCCTGAAGTAGTCGAGGAAAGCCTCAAGCTGAACCCTGATCCACTTCATCCGAATGCGTGCTTCCACTGAAGATCAAGGCCAAAACAGCTTAATCATAGAAGCCGGCAGACTCTTAGACAGAAAACCCTGAAGGAACAATTTGGATCGTCTTTGATATGCTCGCCATAACCAGCAAAGGTCGACATTAGCCAGTTGGGTGTCCTTTGGTGTGGGCAATCCGTGCATTGAAGCATTTCTCCAGTTACAGTAAGACCAGCCTGAAATGATTTATCACATTTGAGTTGCTCGTATGATTGCCCCTTGCCCTTGCACAAACACAATCTATTCTGCTGGCCAATCAAGCTATCCTGCAATTTGCCGCCCTCCTGGCCTTGGCCTTGCCACAATATGGACAAGTAGTATATCTGAACCTCAGAAGCGGTTTGTCTATTAATTATGCATATAATATAGCATATATAACTTCAGATCTCTCCAGTAGTTCTGTGGCAATCCACGATCCCAGAGTGATATGTGGCGCATGAGCTCCTTTCATGGTTGAATAAAATTGCCTGCTAACTCTTCTAAATCCTGGATGTGGACATGGCAACATCTGGGCACCAAGTTGAGTGCAGCTATGCGAGCCATGTGTCAATTCAATCTTAGCATCTTTGGACTTTAAGTTTTTGAAAGCGGCAGCAAGGCGATCCTGTCATAGATGGCAAACCGCATAACAGGCAAGGTTGCGCATTCGTTGAATGCTTCAACTACTAGTGTGCCAGCTGCATCATGTCATTCTGGTCTTCCCCTTCGACTCAATCAACAAAGCAAGTGCATCCTCTAACATCCTCCCGAGTTTCAAAGCAGCCATCTAAATTCGCCAAATACCAAGTAAAAACCAGCATGTAGCTTGAATGAAACGCACCAAATACAAAGGAGCTTCACCCCAATGCTGCTTCGAAATAGCCATCAGCATCATCTGTATCCCACAACTGACATCTCCTATTGCTCATTGTCTCAGGAAAGCTCTTCCTGCCTTCGGCTGCGCTGCATTGAAGTCATCTGCAGAGACTGCTTTGTTGTCCTTCAGTCTCTGCCGGTACAAATATGCGCCAGTAGCACCACCGGCAACCTTGAATCACATCGGGAAGCGTTGGACGGCTTTTCCAGCAAATCAACCAAGTCTTGCTGGTTGTGTTTTCGGAGGCTTTCTGAACAACTTTTATTAGACTCCGATATCCAGTCCACAACGATGCACGTAATCGCATAGTATATTCCAGAACACAAAGCGTTTTTTCAATGGCCTCGGTGGCCTGGGCCTTTCCTGGACCGCCGCCTCTGTTGGGGTTCTCTTTCCGGCTTATTCTTGCGGTCACCAAAAAAGTCTGCCTCGAGACCTATGGACTTGGGAAAAGCGAAAGGAAAGGAAAATAGTATAAAGAAAAGGTGTTTGGGGTTCCAACTTTGTAGGGTCTGATTGTTTGAAGGGACCCTAACACCTTCTTCGTGCCTTTCGTTTTCTCTCCCTAAGCCCACAAACAATTTGCGCAAAGCGTACACAGCTTGAATTGCAGCTTGGAAGCTGCTACGCTGGCAGTGCCTAGGTGCAGCACACCCGAGGAGACCGGTCAGACCGGCTCCCACAAAACACGTCAAATACATCTGTGAATCTCTCTCAGCGGTTACGCGATACTGCAATGACCACACACTTAGATACATGCTCGCAAGAGCTAAATCAGTTTGGTAGTTCGAGCGTTACTGCAATTAGACCTGAAGGACCTTTAATGCAGTTACAGTAGACCTTGGCTAAGGGAACAGAGTGGCTTCTCGGGTCCGAAGAACAGACATGTTGAACATCGCGCAGTAGTCTTTTATGGAAGATTGGAGTAAAAGCTTGGACAACGGTTCAAAAAGCAGGTACATCGATCCAGCGTCACAGACCAATGCAACCGTCTTTGTTCGTGCCAGACTTGCATGGTCCCTGGCACCCCCTGCTGAAACTGTACAATTACCCTTGGAGGTGCAAAAAATGCATGAAACCATGAACGATAATGAGCGCATTAGTTCCACAACGAGCGTTCTTCAACTCACCCTGTTGCCAAAAATCAAGCATCCAATTAAACCAGCAAATGATGAAGACTTCTAGATAATTACGACTGATCAAAGAAAGAGCAAGCAACAATTTGTTTTGCAAGGTTCATTGCCGGTGGAATCCTCCTGAGCTGTAGGACCGCCTAGCTTCATGGCTTGACGTCGACCCATTCACCCTTGGCCCACCCCAGTCGGCAAAGTACGCAATGCTAAGCGCCGCCAGCGCGACATTGACGAAGCTCCAGATCTGGAGAGCCGTTGTGTGGTGAGGGGCACATCTCAAAATGATTCAAAATGTATCGAATCATATTGTGTGAATCGGTGTCCAGCACATCTAAGCACCTCCAGCCCTTACTTTGCCCAACTCATTCTAAACAAATAGTTGATTGGAACAAAGTTCAGGAAAGCAATCACAGCTGTGACACAATGACATACCAAAGTAGTACTTAGCAACAAGCAATATGCGCCCAACACATATCTCCTTTTCTGGCGCCTCTGTATATACTTCGGACAGTCAGCTGAATGTCTTTGAGCCGAATATGCTGACAATGCTTGTCAAAAACACCCTGAAACTCACTGCACGTCACCGTCACAAGCTACAACTTCAGGACTCATAAGTGCCTCAAGGTCACTTGCCAACTTGCTGATACATCCTGATAAGAAGTGTAAATACTCTGCTTTCAGCCCTTTCGGCAAATAGGATTCAATAGGCATATGACGAGAACTCCTGCAAAAAGCTCCTCCGAACCATTCTTGTACAGCTGGCCACATTTTTTCAAGGGCCATAGTTTTTGTCTTTCCATGATCCCAGATCTCCCTCCCGCCTTTGTAGAGCTTCTCTTCAACCTTGATCCAACAAATTCCAATGCTAGCCAAACCAACTACTTATACACATCATTATAGATTTATGTAACAATAGAATAGGGATACATGTCAAAACAATCAGTCTGGTCTAGCCATTAGGCCAGGGATCTTCCCGATTTTGCATGTTTCAACTTGATTAAGCTTTCTCGTTCAAAGAATGTTCGGCAAACGTTGGTAGACATCTCTTCTCGCTTGCGTTCCTTGCAAATCAAAAAGTCAAACAAAACCAGCCAAAACTCGGCACAAATGCCGTGCATCCGAATTGAACGTGTTTGTACAGGTTCAGTGCAGGATACAATATCACCACCTTGTCTGACCCGAGCGACATAGGTTTTCTGGCATATCATCTAGGAACTGTTTCATTCGAGGGGTTCAAGGGAGCAAGGCGCTTTTGAACCCTTGCTCTACTACGTCCTTGCATGCAGCATCCTTAAGCTTAGTAGCTACTCAAGCTACTACTGCCTGTCTTCCACCACCTTCCACCACCCAAAAACATAGAATGCTCTTCCGAATGCTCTTTCAATCGGCCAAGTTGAGCACCTCGAATTGGTCCACATGCTTCTGCCTCCAAATACCCTTTGCCAGGTGATCACCTGAAACGTTTGGCACTTGACATCGGCGAACGTGGCAATACGAGCGATGCGTCAAACACCGTGCGGATCGAACCGCCGTTTGGCCGGCACGTCTGCGACACCACGACAGTGTCGTCGTGCGTGCGGATGACGCGCCTTCATCCCAGTCCCAGGAGCAAACAATGTAAAGCTCCTGAAGACGCCGTGCAGCTGACCACATTGGCTAAGCACTCGTGAAGAAAGAGAAGAGAATTCGCTGAAGACGTCCCACAAACCCGCCGTCCGGAGTGGCAAGGTGTTTTCTAGCGCGAAAAATTGTAACTTCTCAATTCTCTGATTGCCCGATTGCTTGCACAAATTCAAAGGGGATGTTGGGTTGTGCTCAAGTTCATTGGGAATGCATCTCAGGATACCTGAGTGCAGCCACCGAGACAGCAGCCTGTGAAATTGAAAGCTCCAAGTGGCAGAATCCACCCAAACCTGTGACTGAAGCGCTGCCGATTGTCTGCCAGTTGCTTGGCCAAGCAACTGGCAAGGGCCAAGCTTTTAAAGCCTGAAACTTTAAGCGCTTTAAGCTGAGCTAAGATAACACATCTTTTGGGCAAGACCAGATTTTAAAAGGCTACGGCAAAGAGACTGTTGCCATAGCCGCTATCGTCATGCACTGTCTGGGACTGAACTTCAAACGTTCAATTTTGACATTCTAATTCTGATTACATTTGGGTCCTTGGTGGGCGACTTTCCTATTATACTTGGCAGCCGTCAGGATTCGTTCTGGTACGGCAGTTTCAAATTTCGGACCTTCAATGTTGGAGGCTCACTGAACGGTGCCGTTTGCTGACTAGTACAGTACGAGTTGTTTGTTTAAAACAAAATGTAAAAAGTAACGTTCCAAACATGTCTGCTTCTTGTGTGCATCCAAGGGCTTCGGATGTGGCCGTCTCCCTGTGCTGTTGGCCTTTCCAAGCCGGAATACATTATTGTTTGTGGTCCCAAGAACGACGCATGTTGGATTGGGGAATGGAATAGACATTGCATTCGCGTCAGCGGCTCTTCTCTGT